CGCTCCTGTTTTTATCACTTGAGAAACATTGCTAAGCTGAGTCCCATTGTATCGCGCTCCGAATTGGAAATTGTCATTCATGCATTTGTTTCATCTTGTCTGGACTATTGTAATTCTTTGTTTACTTGCTTTTGGAACTGTGGCCCCCAGATTGTGGAACTCTCTCCCTTTGAGCCTGAGATCTGTGGACTCAGTGGTCGCTTTTAAAAAAACAGCTAAAAACTCGTCTTTTTAAACTTGCTTTTGGTTGATTTTTATTTTTAGCTTCTGTGAAGCACTTTGTGATTTTTATCTTGAAAGGTGCTATATAAATAAAGTGTTACTTACTTACTTACTAATGTGTCACACACATCAGTCAGTCAGCGAGGATGCTGTTTAACCTGTTAATGAAACAAGTTACAATGTATTCAGTCTTCCTCTTTTCTTTCTTTCAGTCAACACAGATAGTGAGACCGCAGTGGTTAATGTTACCTATGCAACCCGGGAACAAGCCAGGCAGTAAGTTGCTCATCTTAATATTTTTCCATCTCTTGTTCTTTTCACAGTCTTTTGAATTTTGCTACATTTTGTGTATAACAAACCGCTGAGGTGTGTGTGAAAAGTTGAATCATGACTTTGTGTAGCATTTGTTGCAAAATCTACCTGCAAAGAGTCTGTTGTTATGCTCTAATTATGTGTTGTATATATATATATATATATATGTATGTATATGTTTGTTGCGGATAATCAAATACTTTTAATGAAAAAAAGTATGTAAAAGTAAATATGACTTACTGCCGCTGTGCTGGGTCCTCAGAGCCATCCAGAAGCTGAATGGATACCAGTTTGAAAACAATGCCCTGCGTGTCTCCTACATCCCCGATGAAACCTCTGAACTGGAGGGAGGCCAGCGGGGGCCTGATAACGGCCGGCGACCTGGCTACGGGCCCCGGGGCGGACCCCGTGGCGGGTCCCCAAATTCTGGGATGCCCTCCAAACCTCCACATGCCGACATCCCTCTGAGACTGCTGGTGCCCACACAGTACGTCGGCGCAATCATCGGCAAGGAAGGAGCCACCATTCGTAACATCACCAAGCAGACACAGAGCAAGTGGGTAACAGCGTGATGGGTTTATTTCACACTTAATGTATGATGTGTAAGATAGTTTGATGGATGGATGACAGCATTCTGATATGAAACCTTTTTCTAAACACTCCAGATTAAATTTATGATTTTAAATGCTCAGATTTAAAGGTTTGATATCTATTGCTCTTAGAAAGAAAAATCTGCTTTCATAACTGTATCGAGACACTCTGGTTCTTGTTAAAAAAAGTTTTTTTTTCAATATTTTAAAACTCTGCTTTTGAGCTTTTTCCCTGTGTCAGAATTGACATACACTATTCCATGTGTGCATTTCTTTCTGTTGCTGCAGGATTGACGTCCACCGCAAGGAGAATGCAGGTGCTGCTGAGAAGCCCATCAGCATTCACTCTACCCCTGAGGGCTGCTCAGCCGCCTGTCGCATGATCCTGGACATCATGCACCAGGAGGCCAAAGACACTAAGACGTAAGTTATCGTAGTGATCCAGCACGGTAACAACCTAATGCAGGAAAACTGATCCTGGAGCTGATGAGTTCTCTGTAGCAGCATGAAAATAACAGTGGGTTCCACTTGCAGTGCTGATGAGGTCCCTCTGAAGATCATGGCTCACAACAACTTTGTTGGGCGGCTGATTGGGAAAGAGGGACGCAACCTGAAGAAAATTGAGCAGGACACGGATACAAAGATCACCATTTCCCCGTAAGACACACACACACACTAACTTGTGGTTGTGTATTAGCTGAGGTGAATGATTTATTGATTTAAAGCACAGAAAGACGCCTCACTGCAGCTCACCCATGAGCGGATACAATTTCTAGTTGAGCCACATCAAATTCAAATTCAAATTTTATTTGTCACATACACAGT